GGTGCTCCTCCCAAAATTTGCTCAATTGTACATCTACGACACAGAGAATGAAATATCGAACAGACTATCTTCTGTAAGGTATATATATTATATTTTGTCATTAAAATTTGTGACTTACATCGTAATATTAGTTTACTACATTTTATTTAATAATTCAAATTGCTATTTTTTTTTTTTCAGGAATTGTGTTGAAAGAAATAATCTTGATGGGGAAGTAGTGCTTGGGTTGAAAGAGATGCACGATCATTACAATGTTTTGGTTAAGTCGTTTAGAATGGCGTGAGAGAGGTTGAACCAACCCGAGCATCGCGAAGTTAAGATGCGACTTATTGGAAAAAGGAATAAGGATGGTCGGCATTATAATTTACCGTCCACTTCTGAAGTTGCAGCGTTGGTTGTTGATGATTTCGATGATGCTAAGGGCAGCCGTGATATTATAGTAGAACATCGGAGCGGACGTTTGCAGCGTATCAACGAGTTGAACGCTTCCTATTTGTCTCTCCATTATCCTATTCTTTTTCCCTGTGGTGAGGATGGTTACAGGGAGGACATTCTATTTTCAGTCCTAAAACCGATGACGAAGAGGTCGAGGAAATTTATCAGTTCCCTGGAGTTCTTCAAATATCAAATGCACGACCGTGACAACGAATTGTCTTCTATCCTCTCAGCTCGGAGGTTGTATCAGCAGTTCGTTATGGACGCGTATACAATGGTCGAAGGAGCTCGACTAAGATATACCCGATTTAACCAAACAAAACTTAGAACCCAATTGTACAGCCGTCTTAAGGATGTTGTGTTGCGAGGAGACACCGATCCTGGTTCTCAAGGTAAACGAATTATACTGCCTTCATCCTTTACGGATGGCGCGAGATATATGATTGAGAACTATCAGGACGCAATGGCCATATGTCGGTGGAGCAGTTATCCTGATATATTCATAACCTTCACTTGCAACCCTAAGTGGCCAGAAATCAGTCGTTTTCTCGATAACAAGAATCTCAAACCCGAGGATCATCCTGACATAATATGTCGTGTATTTAAGGCTAAGTTGGACGCTTTGATGAGGGATATCCGACATAACAAGATGTTTGGTGACGTGAATGCAGGTACTTAATATTTTTTAATTTAATGTATTTAAATTTATAATTTTTTGTGTTCAATGTATTTTTTTTACCAGGAATATTTAATTTTATTTTTATTTTTATTTTTTGTACAGCTATATACACGATTGAACTCCAAAAACGTGGACTTTCACATGCCCATATCTTGATATTCCTTGCCAAAGCACACAAAATTCAGACCATTGATGGCATAAACAAAATAATATCTGCTGAAATACCGGATGAGGCCACCGATCCTTTATACTATGCTGCCGTTAGTGATCATATGATGCACGGCCCTTGCGGAACTGTCCGCCCACAATCTCCGTGTATGGTTAATGATTGTTGCACAAAGCACTTTCCATAGAAGTTCTCTGAAACTACCACCTTGGACGAGAAGGCTATCCACGATACAGGCGTCGTGATAATGGCAGGACTATAGAGAAGAACGACATTCCCTTAGATAACAGATATGTTGTGCCTCATAATAGAAAATTGCTCCTTAAGTACGGCGTGCACATAAATATGGAATGGTGCAACCAGTCGAGGTCCATCAAATATCTGTTCAAGTACGTGAACAAGGGGAATGATCGCGTCACCGCTACCTTTTACGAGTCAAATGGAGCTGAGTCATTTAGCAGGCCGGTTGACGAGGTGAAGATATACTATGATTGTCGTTATGTTTCATCTTGTGAGGCTGCATGGCGGTTGTTGGAGTTTGAGATTCAATACAAATGGCCATCAGTGGAGCGCTTGAATTTTCACCTCGAAAACGAACATCCTTGCTACTATGATGATGAAGTTCCGATCGATCAAGTGGTTAATAAAAATAAAAAGCGCGTTAGCAAATTCTTGGCTTGGATGGAGGCCAATAAGAATTATCCCTCTGCTAGAGAACTTACATATGTCGAGGCTCCCACTAAATTTACGTGGCATTCGGAAACGCAAAGTTGGCGGATTGCGCGTTTGTACTTCGTCCCCCCCGGAGCTGGGGATATAATTTACTTGAGGTGCCTTATCAATGTTGTTCGAGGTGCAACATGCCATCGTGACTATATGAAGTTGAATGGCGTCCAACACGATTCGTATCGCGCAACGTGTTTTGCCCTCGGTTTGGTGGAGGACGACAAAGAGTATATAGAAGGCATTATTGAGGCAAGCCAATGGGCGACCGCGAGTTCATTGAGGAACCTTTTTGCAACTATTCTTTCCTCTGATACTCTTGGTCGACTGGAGTTTGTGTGGGGACGCGTGTTGGCATTACCTATCGGATGACATACTGCATAATCGTCGGAGGCTTTTACACCACCCAGGTAACAAATTCAATTGTTTTTGTATGTATTTATTATATTTACTTTTTATATGTTTTATCTTTGTACTTATTATTTTCGTTGTACTTTCATTATTACAGAATTGGTCATGAGCGATGAGCAAATAAAGAATCTCGCTTTGGCTGAGGTCGAAAAGATTTTGCGGCGGCGTGGGATGAGTTTACGTGACTATGGTAAAATGTCGTTTCCTGTTCTCGATTGTAATGAGGCGTCCACGAACAGACTTGTGATGGACGAGTTGAATTACGATCGTCGTGCACTATCGATTGAGAATGAGCAATTGGTTGCCAACATGACTGATGAGCAGCGCAATGTTTATGACTTAATTATGGACTTGGTTTACTGTAGCCACGGACGGATCTGTTTTGTTTATGGTTATGGCGGCACCGGTAAAACATATATCTGGAGGGCGTTGTCTTCTGGTTTGAGGTCGAAGGGTGAAATTGTGTTGAACGTTGCATCGAGCGGTATCGCGTCACTTTTTCTTCCCGACGGCCGGACTGCCCATTCACGATTCCGAATCCCAATAAACCCAACTGAAGGGTCGACATGTGACATTAGACAGCAGAGTCCGTTAGCTGAGCTGATTATGCGATGTCGGTTGATCATTTGGGACGAAGCCCCGGTGATGAATAAGTATTGTTTTCAGGCAGTTGACAACACCTTACGAGCCTTAATGCAAGTAGTGGATCCATCGAGGAAAAATCTCCCTTTTGGCGGCAAGTCTGTTGTATTTGGTGGCGATTTCAGACAGATTCTCCCTGTTGTGCCTAAAGGCACTCGGAGTGACATAGTGAATGCGACCATCAATTCGTCCAGCTTATGGCGAGATTGTATTCATTATGAAACTTACTCAGAACATGAGGCTTCGAAGCCTTGGTGGGGGCGGTGAGTACGATGAGTTGAGGCTTTTCACGGAGTGGCTTACAAGCATTAGCGACGGTACTGCCGGTGGACCGAACGATGGATGTGCTGACATAGACATTCCCGAGATATTCTTCTGAAATCCCAAGGTGATCCTATCGCTTCTATTGTTGAAAGTACGTACCCAATGTTTAGGAGTTCGGGCGACGATCTTAGCTACTTGAAGGACAGAGCTATACTCGCTCCCACCCTTGATGTTGTTGAGTCCGTTGAGTACATGAGCTCATTGAACTTCTCCGAGGGAAGAACTTGTTTGAGTTCGGACACCGCTTGCAAGTCAGATGCTGGATATGACTATCTTCATGATCTTCATACTCCTGAATTTCTCAATGGGATTAAGTGCTCTGGACTTCCCAACCATAAAGTGCACTTGAAGGTTGGCACTCCAGTGATGCTCCTCAGAAATATTGATCACTCCATGGGGTTGTGCAATGGTAATATTGATTAAAATTCGATATATTGTGTATATTTTATTTGATTTTACGTACAAATTCGAGTGATTTGCTTTTGTTGTCCAAATTTTGATTCAGGTACTCGATTGGTTATTACTAAGCTCAGCAGCCATGTCTTAGAATGCATAATTCTAACCGGTGCCAGAGCTGGTGATAAGGTTCTTATTCCTAGGCTCACAATCATACCATCCGATTTGAGGGTACCGTTCAAATTTCAGAGCAGGCAGTTCCCTCTCATGGTTTTTTATGCTATGACAATCAATAAGAGTCAAGGGCAATCACTGTCGCACGTTGGCTTACTTTTGAAGAGCCCTATATTTAGTCATGGACAATTATACGTGGCGCTTTCTAGAGTAACGAGTCGGAGGGGTTTGAAGATTCTGATTTGTGCTGATGGAGATTCTGACGATAATAAAACCACGAACGTTGTATATAAAGAATTGTTTAATAATATTTAGATTTTTTTCTTGGGTTTTTATCAAGTGATTATGTTATTATTTTTCCTATTGTTTACAATTTATTGTATTTTTTCCTCTATCACATAGCTTTCCCTAAAAATGAAAATTAATTCACTAGCTTTCCGTGCAAATGCACGGGTTACAACTAGTTAGTTATTAGTATTAAGTTCTTAATTATTAGTATTAAGTATTAATTATTACCATTAAGTATTATCATTTTCTTAAATTCTTTATCGGTTCGGTTCGGTAAAACCGAACCTCTATGGTTTTGGAACTGATACCGTACCGATAACATATCGATGTTTTAAGTGAATCGGTACGGTTTATTTTTTTCTCCTCGGTTTGATTCACTTTTCAATTTTCGGTCCAAAAATGCCAACCCTAGAATAAACAACTCTTATTATTTGAACTGGACACTACAGAGACGAATATTATGTGAATATTATTTTTTCGTAATATTCGAATATGTTAAATATCTATTATCATTAGTCCTAATAAAAAACTTTACAATTACAATTATTTTATAACAAATGCAACAAACATATAAAATATTTATTAAATTATTAAAGATAATAAAATAAAACTAATAACATTTAAAATTATTTTTATACTAATAAATATTTTTTTTCATTGCTTTAATACATACAATTTATATTTATTATTCCATACATCAATATCAATAAAAAATAAATAATCAATAAATAAAATTAGTGCATACTCTCAAGTCCCAAAACAATGTCGATGAATCTCCGCCCTCCTTCCTTCCGTTCCCTCGCCGCCGCCTCCTCCGCCGCCATGTATTCTCGTCCCCATGTAATCCCACATCTTTCAAGCTCTATCGCATCAGAGCAGCATACTATACATAGTATCGCTTTTGTAAATTCAGGAATTTCCCCCTTACTACAGTAAATTCTTCTGTGTCTTACAATTTTTATTCCGGTCCTGAGTTGAATTTTACAATGATGTTGTTACAGTTCAGGGGAGCACGCCCTACAGGAAGGAGAACCTACTCCGACAGACCCTCAGGCCCTGCAGGCGGTGACCACGCGGAGTCGGTCTCCGGCGATAACCATTTCAGTGCAGTAAGTGAGACCAATCGCGGATTCCGACATAGCTACAATGCTGTACCCCCGCCACCTCAGTATGCAGCTGCTCAGCGGTTCCACGGTCCCGGTCCGCAGTCCAACCAGACTTACGCACCTGTTTTCCAGCAGCGTCCCGGGGCCCAGGGTCCTTACAGGCACCCACGGCCCATGAGTCCTGCTTTTAGTAATCACCATCAGTTCACACCACAGCAGGGGCCTCAACAGTATAGGCCGAGACCCTCGAGGCCTCCAGACTATCGAGACTGGGAGTATAGGAAACGGGGTCTGCCTTCTCATTCCGGTGACTCCTAATCCTTACAAACTTATCAAGTTAATTGTGGAATTAGTTTAGGGTTCGTTGTTTATTGTGTGTGTTTGGGTTGGATAGATTAGCACTTCTTACCCATTTCTATCTGTGGACTTTGAGTAATTTGATTTGCACATGTGTTCATGATATTGCATCTATAAGTCGATATTTTGATATGTCGCTGTTAATTCTGCCATAGCTGCCCTGTATTTTCATTAGAATAACCTTGTTTTTACTTGCTATCCGGTTCAGGGCGGTTTACGGTTCTCTCGTATAACATACTGGCTGACTACTTGGCCAACGAGCACTATCACAAACTTTACTTTCATATTCCCCGCTATATCATGGACTGGAATTGGCGCAAGAAAAATATATGTTTCGAGTTTGGGTTGTGGTCAGCTGACATTTTGTGTCTTCAGGTTACCTGTCTCATGCTTTGTTTTAGATAGTGTCTCAACCCTTTGTACTACTGACATAAAGTTATTTTCAATATAATGTCTCTGGAAATTTCAAAGATAGGGTAAAGCATTATGTTGGGCTATTGAATTTGCTTATCCCCAAAGAGATGCATCAGAATCACATATGTAGTCCAGCTTTTCTATCCTTAGCATTCTTTGTCTGCCAGTTGAATACGGAAGCTTCATTTTCAAATTTTATGTCTATTATTCCTATGTTGCTTTGGTAATAGTGAATATTTAATTTTATATATCCTAAAAATTTGGGTCATTAAGTATTACTTATGGTGAGTAGACTGTAATTTCAAACTACATTACTTTTGCTGAGTTTTCTTGCAGACTAGGATTTCAAAGTGAACTAAGTGAAGTTAGTAAGTACCCATTATTTTCAAAATCAGAATTCCTGGAAACTTTGCAATCATAAGTCGCCATGTTTACTAGGGTGATCTGTTTGTGTTAGTTTTAAGATCCCCTTGATCTTTATCCCGATTCTTTACTTTCTCTTTTGCTAAGTTTCTTTTTTTTAGAAACAGATTTGTTTCTCTCAGAACTTTTACTTTTATTATCCTCATTCTGATTTATTTTTCGTTTGAAGTCCAGGAGGTTGATAGATTTCAAGACATCGAGGCAGAACTAAGGAACCGTGGTTATGCTGGCATTTGGAAGGTTCTTTTTTTTTTTTCTTTTTTGTTTTTAAAGAGCTGGCATTTGGAAGGTTACTAAGAAAATGCTTAGTTAATTTCATGTTATCATTCAAATCATAGGTTTTCCAATTCGATGCACACATTCATGCAGCTTTTCATTTTGGCCTGTTATTGTGATCGAATTACTCTTCAGATCATCGACATTAAAATGGAACAAGAGTAATCAATCTCAGGAATCCAAAATGAGATAAACTTGTCAGTTTGTTTGCATGTGCGAGAAATAAAATTCCTATTAATTATATTGGAGTGATGTTTTGATGGTTTTTTATTGTCCAATGGCAAGCAATATGAATAGAAATAAATTTTATAAGGAATTATTGAAGTCCAAAAGCATCCTTTGTAGGTTAGCTTGCAAATAGTAATTAGTTCTGATTCAGTAAATGTGGGATGTATATCACCCACATATTTACCTTTCATTAAGCACACTGTGATAGCTGCTCCTGCTTGGAAAACTTGATTTCTTTTAAGTTTCTAATCCCAAATCGATAGGAGTTTGCATTTTCCAAGGATAAGAATGCAGCAGAATAGTTTAAATTAAAGAAATAGAAAAATTCAAAATCCTTTGGTTTGACATCATGCTGTTTCAGTCTTTTCACCGGACACTGATTATAAATAGGTTGTTGGAATGCCATTGTGTTACTAAGTAACAATAAAGAATCCAAGTGTTTCATCCCTTACTGATTTGTTGTTTGTTTATATTTCTCAAGTGGATGTGTATAGAGATTCATTTCCGATATATCCTTTATCATTCAAATTTTGCAGGAAATAAAAATAGTGATTCTAGAGTTGCAAATCAATTATGTTTATTTGAGTTTATAAGACATCAACATTGGTTGATAATCATAATTCTAATTTTTAGATGCGAACTGGTGATCCTGCTGATGGTTGTGCTATATTTTGGCGTTTTTTAAGGTATGAACCACCAGTTTACTGCAGACACTCAAATTGATGGAAACCATGATCTATGTCATTCCTCACGTTCGTTACACGTTGAGGATGAGACTTTATCCTGGAGGAACCATATGAAATATATGTTCCATGTAACTAATCTAGTGGTTCTCTTTTAGATTCAAGTTGCTGCATGAAGAATCCATTGAATATATTAAGCTTGGCCTTCGGGATAATGTTGCCCAGATATGCGTGTTTGAGGTACATCTGGCTTCAGTCAGAATATGTCAGTAGTCATTAAATAAGATTGGCAAGTATATATGATGTAGATGATGTAATTGGTATTTGAGTATTGTATTCTTGCTGAACAGTCTCTGAGCGGACAGAATAATATCAGCGCAACACCAACCTTGTCTGCAAGGCAAGATAAATTTTTTCTATAACTTGATCATTATATAGTTTTTCTATGGTCACTTTTTTCTCCTTCTCCCAATTTGTCCGTCGGTGTGAATGTGTATATTTCATGCTGAAGATAGAAAAATGTTGCAGTGGCAGCTCAGCAAGCCCTAACAGAGTTGTTATTTGCAACATTCATGTGCTTTTCAATCCCAAAAGGGGAGATGTAAAACTTGGACAGGTATGTATTTTCTATTATTGGTACTGGTTTATGGTTGGTATCTCACATGATCAGCCTAAGTGTATTGTTTTCATTTATATTTCCTTAGAAGAAACATGATGCTTCTGGTTGGTTTACATATAAGCAAGGTTCTAAAAGGCACTAGGCTCTCGCTAGGCGGCAGACTGTGGTGTGGCGGACTGGGGCGTAGCGCCTGGATCACCTAGGTCGAATCGTAAATATGCTAATAAATTTATTTATATTTAAAAATCATGCATAACTTACAAACTATGTTTTATAAAATATACTAATTAGTATGGTTAGATACAAAGATTTTCACAAATATTATATACTTACAAATGTTGTATTAAATTTACAAAATTATTTTTATTTTATAATTATTGTACATTTCATGTATAAAAATCAAACTATTTTATTATATTTCAAAATATATATATATATATATATATTAAAATATTTATAGGCGCCTGGACCTAGATAGCGTAATCAGTCTAGACATAGGTGTGTCTGCTTCGCAACCGTGCGGACTGCCTTGGCTGTGTCTAGCTGTCTAATTGCCCAAGCGCCTAGGCGCCATCTAGACGGCTAGACCAACTTTTAGTATGGTGCATATAAGATATCAATTTTCCACCATGAATGCAATAACATTGGTTTAAATCTCCTTTGACTCCTTGGCACGTTTGTCGGATGAAGTTCCCACCTTGTATGCTTAAAATTATTCAGTAAATAGTCTGTGTGGCAGGTTCAGCAAGTGTTGGTCAATACAATGACTGTGTAATTGTCTCCTTCACCATGCAGTCAACTTTATTTTATCTACAATAAGTTTCACTTATTGTGATTTTCATGCTTCCATCTGTTCGTTGTCTCACTTTGCAATTGTTTACTGACGTGTGAAGTGCACATTACAATGTGGTATTTTCATATTTCTTGGACTTGAACACTTGATTTTTGGCCTGTCAGATGAGGGTGCTTCTAGAGAGGGCGCACGCTGTTTCTAAGCTTTGGGGTGATGCTCCAATAGTTATCTGTGGAGACTTCAACTGCACCCCTAAGGTTTTTTCATGTCTCTACATTGTCATATGATCTATAACTATGTTATTGCGTATTGTGCTCTTGAAGTTTTGGATCGAATCTGACCCTTAATTGGTTTTTCCCTGAATAATTATGATGCCACATGCACGGTCTTGTTTATCAGAGTCCCTTGTACAATTTCATCTCAGAACAAAAGGTATTTGGCTGCTTCAAAATTTATTTACTCTTTTTTTCTCTTCATATCATTTTTATTAAGCTATCCGTAACTGGTACAGCGTAAGAACTCATGGCCTTTTCTATATCCTACTGTAGCTGGATATTTCAAATTTGCCTCGTGATCAGGTCTCCGGGCAGGCTATGGCAGAAATACGCCCTCAAAGGCCTCCTCCTGATTTTAGGTATGTCTTTTGCTGGTTACACTTTTTTTCCCTGACTAGATTTTGTATTGTAATCGACTGTCACTTTAGGTTGAGACGCTTATTTCTTAATCCAGGACACAAGCTGCGGACATTGCTTCCTCTCAAGCTTCTGTAGTTAATAGTGCAAATATAGAACAAAGGGACTTGCCTATAGATGCACAGAATTCTGCCTCTCCTCAAAATTTTGCAAATGCCTCTTCCACAAGGATGCCAGAAAACCATTCAAGTGATATTACTAATACATCTGACCCTACATCAACCTCTAACTCGAATGTGTCTCAGCTTGATGGGCCTTCTGAAGTAATATCTCCTGATTCCCTTGATCATACCCCATCAAATCAAGAAGTAGCAAACGAGTCTCCTGATAAAATATCTCCTGATTCTCTTGATCATGCACCATCAAATCAAGAAGTTGCATTGTCTGCTTCATGCGAACCCACAGGCGCAGATTTATTGCTGGATGAGAAACTTGATCTTTTGTCACTCAATGTATCTGTTGATGGGGCTATGGATAAACCGGGTGAAAATTGTGATTCATTTCTTTCCGAACTACATGGCCAAAGGGACTCACGTTCTCTTGAAGATCAGGTTCTCGATGGCAACCTTCAGGTTGAACATGAGATTATGGCCGATGTTTGGAATAGTTCGTCTGCTTATTCATCGGCTTGGACTCCAGCAGAGATACAAACTGCGACGGGCAGTGCGGACGACATGGTTGTGGAACACCCCTTGAAGTTGATGAGTGCGTATGCAGAAGTTGAGGTTTGAGTAACAAACTGTGGCTCCTAATTAGTTAATTAAAAAGAATAAAATATAAAAACTAATAAAACTAGAAATATCACTCATAAATTTTTGTAGAGAAGCGGTTTATTTTTCAGTGGTTGAAGATTGTCCTTCTTACAGAACTCATCAGGGCTAAGAGATTCGAGTGGTGAACCTTTCATCACGAGCCACCATAGACGTTTCTCAGGCACAGTTGATTATATATGGTCAGTCATAATCTCGTAGAAACATCTTTAGGTAGAACTTTTGTTGCATGTAATTACTTTTATTTTTTGGTCATAGTTAAGATACGAATGCAGAATAATTTGTTTCAACCAAATTCTTGGATCTCCCACCGAGGTGGTAATGGGAACTTACTCTTCAAAAACATTATTCTTCTCTCTCTTTGTGAGAGAAGTGACTGGACACTTGATTAGAAATGCCTAATTGGTCATTCCATAAAACTACATATTGTTTGGATTCCTCAATATTCACTCAAACCTTGTTGTCTACGGTAAATACTCATTCCCACTGGGGACCTGGAGTACGTAATACAACTTGTACAGGAAAAGTCTTACATCTACTTTCATTTATTTGCTTGTTCTTTCTCTCGGTCGGAAAAACTATCAAAAGGGCCCAAACTATTTAAACCCCTTGATCTGCAGGCACACAGAAGGTCTGCAAACTCTAAAGATTCTTGCTCCAATTCCGAAACATGTCTTGCAGCAAACTCGGGGATACCCCACAAAGGTATTGTCATGTGAAATTGCTATGGTGAATTGTCTCATTATTTTCAGAAAGTTACATCTTAACCAGTTCATTTAATTATCTGTACCTGATGTTATGTCTACCTTTTTAACAGTATTAGTCGGGATTTTTTATTTTTTATTTTTCTCAGAAATGGGGAAGCGATCACTTGGCACTGGTTTCTGAATTTGCCTTCACTAAGGATATCATGTCCTCTGAAAATTCCGGCCAATAATGCTTTAAGAGTCTTGCACAATTCACACGTCATTTGACAGGCACACTGTATGATCTCTTGCAACTTAGTGGACTGCATTTATTTATTATATTACATCTTGTGTTGCTTCATTCATCTTCAGCGATGATTATAGTGATCATGAACTGCTTCAAAACTAGCATCCTTGTTAAATTAGTCAGTTTTTGTTTAAAATAACCTTTTGCTTGAAAAATAGATAAACTGGAAAATTAATTGTTGGATAGATTGTTTCTAATTACTGAATAACAATTACTTTATATATTGTTTTTACTATATTATCTTTAAAAAATATTTAAATATTATGATTTATAAAGTAATTCTATGGAGCCATCGGATGGTTCCCTTATGGAGCCATCCATAATTTTATGTACTGACACGTGTCAATACATAATATGTGAATAATTAATTATAGATGACTCCATAAGTCGAGTCATCCGATGGTTCCATAGCAAAACCGTTAGATTGTATATAATGTTCTGTTTGTCTATCAGGAATTGGCTTGATTTGGCAATGTGGGTTTGCTGGGTTGTATTTATTGAGGTCAGAAAATGAGGCAGCAAAGGAATATATGACCACAATTGCAGTTGAATCTGAGAAAAGAAACTCGCATGTGCCTGTGATGCCTCGAAAGGGGGTTGTCGTTTATCACCAACATATACATTATTCCATCCATTTAAATATAGTTTTTTGCTTCAGAAAAGCATAAGATCTCATTGTTCTATTTTAATGTAGTTTTATCACTAATTCTAAAGGTTTTCCATATCATAATATTCTGAATGTTTTTATTCAATAATTAAAAAAAAAAAAAATGATACAAGGGAAGAAGTACACCAACTCAATTTTTATCCTTGGTAACCAAGGAGATGCTAATGGTCTTTAATCAGAGTTACTAAAATTTACCTCATGATAACTTAGAATCAATCATCGCCAACTTACTAATTGTGTTAGCCACCCGCTAAACTTAATCAAGATTGATCCTATATCCTAGTTATTATACACGGTGCGCTAATAATCGGGCTAGGTGTCGAGGCAGTCTTCTAGGCAGACCAAGATGGATCTAGATACTGCCTAATGCCTAACTAGAACCGGACCAAAAGGATCCAAATCTTCCTAAAGAGGCCACCACATAAATAGTATAGAAGACCTGCACCCTGGTTCCCCAAAACTAATCGACAACGGCCACCCAAAAAGGATCGAAGCAACCCCCACTGAAACCTTCATACACCCAACACCAGAGCAGAATATAGGAGACAGGAATACCAAAGCACAAGTCAAAAAGAATCAATGACCCCCCGCGACCAACAGTCAAAATGTACCGCTTTAAGCAGCCTGACAACCCGACTACCCCTCAATCCGTCATTGCCATATGTTAACTGAGAAAATCCAGACGGGAGAGTACCGTCGTATCCCCTCGCTACTCACAACGACACTGCAACCGGCTCGAGACAATGAAGAGAACCGAAGCTCAATCACCAACTTCTAGCCCGCCCAAGGTGAGTCAGACTACCGCCTCTCCCACCGCAAGACCCGACAGACGAATCCCGAG